TATATATATATATATATATAAATGAAAGAAAAAGAAGGCTATTTGTATATAATTTATTTGCGCAAATTTATATATTTACTAATTTAGTTTGTACGTCAAACTTTATGTATTATTTTATATTATCTTTTTATTTGTGTAATTATTTAGAGAAATAAATTTATCCCCCACATGATGTATATTAAAGTTTGAGGGGTTAAGAAATTATTAAGTTAGGGAATTGATAAGATGAAAATGTTAGTAGAAAGGATGGAATTGACGTAAATGATGCTTCGTTTTTACCGAATTGTAAATACTAGTGTCGAAGTATAGTATCTACCAGTCAAACGTAGTCGACGAGATTGAACATATAACATTCGCGATTTAAACGTAACAGTACGCACGATCGACCTTCTTATCTAAGATCGGAGTTTCTACGGATTTATACCATTTCTATTTTTAAGCGAGCTATTCTTACACGAGCTTATATATAAGCGTTTCATACGATGCGGTTACACGAGTTCGAACCACACATACATATACTTTTAAAAGTACGTCGTAGATCACGGGAGATACACGAGTATCCGAAAGCGGATACATGTATCTTTGTACGTTCTAATAATATTATTTGTAAATACGACTTTTCTACAATACCGAGAGATATATTTGATTTAAGAGATGTAATTAATTTTACGATCGTTTAGTACGTATGAGTTAACTGTATCTGTACCTGAACCTTGATTTCTTCGTAATTTGGTAGACATGTTTTAACCCTCAACTAGCGCACAATATTTGATTCGAGATTTTGGAGCACATGGGTGTATTACCCCGATATTTTCAATCGCGTACGTCTTTATATGTAATGCACAAAATTTAAACAATTTTTTTTTTTAATCAGTACGTCAAAGGATCACAAAGAGGAATGAATAGATGTGAAAATTGAAAAATTAAAAATATTTAAAATATTTAGGAAAAAAGAAAAAAAATAATTTTAATTTGTGAAAAATAAGATTTTTTGAAAATTCATAGTTTCGAGGAGAAAACTGTTAGGGAGTTTTTCTAGCGGGATTTCAAATGTAATCAAATGTACTTTGAAAAAAAACTATTGTTTCGATTATTTTCAAAAAACATATTTTCATTATATGGAATTCAATAATCTAATAAATAAAAAATAACCGTAGAACATTCCCATTTACCCTCAAAACTATGATGAAGAATTAATAGTGGGCAGGGTAAATGGGTTGGGTAAGTTAACTTTTTTTTTAACTTTTTTAAGCTAAGTTAAAGTTAACAGTCTTGAAAATTTAATTTAATTAAAATGTTAATCCATAATAAAATTAATTGAATTAAAAATTAAGTTAATAAAAAAAGTAATTGAAAAGTTAAAAGTTAAATTTGGTTCGAACGAACAACAAAAAAAAAAGAAAAAGTTTTACTAATTTATATAATTTTTCGTATTTTTTCCTTTTTCACAGCTTATTTATTAAAGAATTTGGTTATTTTTGTTCACAAGTAACGATTATAAAATTACTAAATTATATACTCATTAGCCTCTCGCATTGCATCTGAGGATTGACTTAAAAAAAATTAAATTAAAAGTTAGTAGTTACTGATAAAATGTATCTAAATTAAGTTAAAAAAAAATTAGTTATTTAGAGTCTAAAATATAATTAAGTTAAAATTAATTAACTTTTTAAATTAACTTTTATCTTTTTAATTTAGCATTATATTTAGCAGCCAACCCTGATAGTGGGGATATAAAATTTTTTTTACCCCCTATTTTAATCCATTCCATCTTTACGGTAAACCACCCTTTATAAACGCTGTTGTATACAGCTCGGGTGTATGTAACCCAGTGCTCCAGCTGAGGGTTAAGAATAACAATTTGAATGTGTCTTTTTACGCAATAAAGAAGGATACACGGAAAA